CTTATAGAGATGAAGTTTTCACAATAATAAAAATGAGTCATTCATCACACTAAGCTGATAGAGCAGTGAACTATAATTAGGAAGGACATATGTCTGTCAACAACCACATAACACATTCTAAAGCCAAGAAGAAATTGCTTTTAAGTCGTTCAAGGTTTTGGATGATCTATTCTTTTGCCAGGCCTTATGGGTGGGTTTACCAAGCTCTGACTCTTCTGAGATACATTTTTCTCAGACCTGTGGAGGCTGAGCCCAGATACAATTCAGAAGCAGAAACTTTAAAGCTGAAAAACACTTGGATTTGGACTTCCCCCAGCCAGTTAGTTCCCTTTTGAGTACAGTACATGCTGAGACCCAGGGTATTCTGTTAAAAACAGATCAAAGGGACATTTCAATGTCTTCCTTAAGGGCAATTTCTAAAACTTTATGGAAAATGAGGAGGGGATCAGCAAGAGTCAGAACTCACAGGTTTGCAGGCAAAGGAGCAAGATCCATAGGTGGTGCTGAGCCATCTTTTCCCGAGGTCTACTCTGTGGATGAGCACGGGACTGTTCTAGCAGAGTCAGTTTCACTTGAGTTTTCTTACTCCTTTTTATAGCCACATTTAAGAAAGGAAGTGCGAGCTAACTGATTTAGTTACCATTAGTCATTGTATTATTGTGCTAGTTTCTTTTCCGATTATGTAACATATAAAGTGCCTAGCATTAATTAGTTATTTATTCAACAAATATTTATTGAGTGCCTACTATGTGCAGGCACTATTCTGGATGCTGGCAACGTAAAGAGCAACTAAGCAATTGATCGCCCTCCTTTCATGGAGTTTATACTCTTTTTGGAGGGATCAGCAATCAAACAGACAATTCCAATATGGCATCCTCATAAGGAAGTTGGTGGGGGATAACGAAGAGGAAGACTGTCTTGACACATGCTAGGAGCTTAAAAAATGGTAGCAATTGATATTATATAATTATAGTTATACAAAATAATCTACTAAAATTATATGATATGTTATAATATATAATACAATCAATATATAATTATATTAATTACTTAATATAACAATTATTTAATGTATCATATTGATCATATATAATTATATCAATATATAACATATATAATACATAAGATACAATGGGTTTTTAGACTAATCTACTTCGCAGATGGGGAAACTGAGGCTCAGAAGGAAAGGAAGTGATTTTTCCCAAGATCACACAGTGAATTAGTGAACTGAGGTAACAGCGAGCAACTGTCACTTAGTAAAGACTGGAACTCATGAGCATGAAAGACGGCAGGTGCAGAGAGGCATGCTTAGGTGGAATTGAGCCAGATGTAACACAGGACTGTTCCTCAGCAGAGGGCCCCCATCCTGGTTACAAGAATAAGGGTGGCCTTGTAATGTGTGTATTTACGGGAGTGTCTGGGAGTGGTGATGGGAATAAATATTTGAGCCCAGAAGCCAAGCAGTTTGAAATTAGACTTGGTTGGTTTGGGTACTGCTGGGAAAACTGGGGGCACTGCCCCTGAGACCTAGGGGAAGTAAGATTGTGTATAGCTTTTCCCACTGGGAGGAGCCTTCATGTCAGCTAGCTCATTTCTAGGCAACTGAGCCTCTGGAGTAATTCACTAAACAATCCTGCTCATCATTTTCCATATACACTTGTTTAATACTGAATACAGTTGACCCTTGAACAATGTAGGGGTTAGGGACACTGACCTCCCCATGCAGTCGAAAATTTATATATAACTTTTGATTCCCCTAAAACTTAAATAATAGTCTACTATTGATTGGAAGCCTTACCAATAACATATAGTCGATTAACATATATTTTATATGTATGTAACATTATTGTAGTCTTACAATAAAGTAAGCTAGAGAAAAGAAAATGTTATTAAGAAAATCATAGAGAAGAGAAAATATATTTACTATTCATTAAGCGGAATTGAATCATCATAAAGGTTTTCATGTTTGTCATCTCCAGTTGAGGAGGCTGCGGAGAAGAGAAAGAGGAGGGCTTGGTCTTGTTGTCTCAGGGGCAGCAGACGTGGCAGAGGTGGGGGAGGTGGAAGGGGAGGCAGGAGAGGCAGGCACTCTCAGTGTGACCTAACGGAAATACGTCGTGATTTCTGTCTGACATTTTTGCTTTTTTATTGCTGTAAAAAAGTTTCTATATGGTACCCCTTCTTCCTTCTTCCACCATTTGCTTTAGCTTTAGTGTCCCTATCATAGAAGGATCCATGTCGCAAAATAAGTCAAAAGCAGTCTTGAATAAGTGGAACCCTTCTGCTGGATTGTCTAATGTTTGCTTCTTCTGCATCTTCTTCCTCATCAAGTGACACTGGTTCGGAAGTGCTCATCTCCATCAAGTCATCTTCTCTTAACAGGGTGTGGTGCCTATTAGCTCTTGAATTGTGCCAAGATCCATATCCTGAAACACTTTACTCTCCCACATTTTTTTTTTCCATATTCACAATCTCTTTCATGATTTCCTTGATTGGCTCTATTGTAAATCCTTTGAAGTCATGCACAACATCACACACAGTTTTCTCCAGGAGAAATTTATTGTTTCGGGCTTGATGGCTTTCATGGCTTTTCTATAACAACGATGGCATTTCAATGGTGTAATCCTTCCAGACTTTCATGATGTTCTTTCTGTTGGGATTCTCTTCCACAGCATTGACAATCCATTCCATAGAGTATTGTGCGTAATGAGACTTAAAAGTCCTTATGACCTCCTGATGTAGAGGCTGAATTAGAGACGTATTTGGGGGCAAGTAGACCACTTCGATGCCTTCAATGTTGAACTCATGGGGCTCTGGGGGGCCAGAGGCATTGTCCAATATAAAACAAACTTAAAAAGACAGTCCCTTCCTGGCAAGGTACTTCCTGACTTCGGGGACAAAGTATCAATGGAATCATTTCAGAAAAAAGATTCTCATTGTCTAGGCCTTCTTTTTGTACAAATAAAAGACTGGCAGCTCATGTTTGTCTTTTCCTTTCAAGGCTCAGGGGTTAGCAGCTTTACAGATAAGGAGAGTTATGATCATAAACTGCATTTGCACAAAATAGTAGAGTTAGCTATTTCTTCCTGTCTTAAATCCTGGTGCATGCTTCTCTCCTTTACTAATAAATGTCCTTCGTGGCTTCCCCCAGCCCCAACAATGGGCACTTTCATCTGCATTAAAAACCTGTTCAGGCAGATATTCTTCCTCAATAATTTTCTTAATGGTATCTGGGAACTCATCTGCTGCCTCTTGGTTGGCAGAAGCTACTTCTCCTGTTATCTTGATATTTTTTAAGCCAAACCTCTTTTTAAAATTATAAAATCATCTCTTACTGGCATTGAATTCTCCAGCTTTAGATCCTTCACCTTTCTTTTGCTTTAAGTTGTCATATAATGACTTTGCTTTTTCTCAAAGCATGTTAGAGTCTATACGTATGTCTTTCTTATAGCAATCCTGTACTCACATAAAAACTACATTTTGAAATGAAATAAAAAGTTATTTCACAAAAAGTGCATGGTTTTTGAGCCTGCTGGTATAGCTGTAGTGATGGCTTCACAAATTTCTTTTTCCTTTTTTTTTCTTACAATGGTCCTTACACTGGATTCTTTTTTCTTGAAATGGCAGACAACTGCCGCTGTAGACCTCAATTTGTGGTACATATCAAGCAATTCAACTTTTTCTTGTAATGTCATAACTTTTCTCTGCTTCTTAGGAGCACTTTCAGAACCACTAGTGGCACTTTCTATGAGTCCTATGGTATTTATTAAAGGTTTACAGTATTGTCCTAAATACAAAGAAAAATATGCAAGAACTGAGAGAGAACACTGTTTATTGTGATATGCAATTTACTAGAGAGAAAACTGCTCATGCAGAGATGAATAGCATCACGTGGCATTTTAAGTGGATATTGATAACACCTGGGCTCACCTCAATATCAACAGGAGGTGGCTGCAAAATTATTGCAGTAATACAGTATGCACTACAGTTAATTTTATGCAGTTATGATTTAATATTGCATCTTTACATTTGTTTACATTTTCCAGAAATGGCCATATATGATCTGTAAATATCTGTGTACGTAAGTTTTGATAAATTTTACCTTTTTATAATAGATTTGTGTATAGTTTATGGTAGTAAATGATAAAATAGGCTAGTATGTATATATATTTTATGTACTCATGACATATCTTTTGCTTAATTTTTTTTTATATTTCTAGGCTACATGGTTTTTCTGCAAGGGTCATAGCAATAGTTTGGAATGCTCAAAATATTTTGCTTGTTGACTTTCTGGAGGGCCAAATAACAATAACATCTGCTTATTATGAGAGTGTTTTGAGAAAGTTCTCCAAAGCTTTAGCAGAAAAATGCCCAGGAAAGCTTCACCAGAGAGTCCTTCTCCACTACAAAACTTCTGTTTTCCTCTTATCAAACAAGGGCAACTTTGTGAGAGTTTTGATGGGAAATCATTAGGCATTCACCGTACAGTCCTGATTTGGCTCCTTCTGATGTTTTTTGTTTCCTAGTGTTAAAAAATCTTTAAAGGGCACCCATTTTTGTTTAGTTAATAATGTAAAAAAGACTGCATTGACACGGTTAAATTCCTAGGACCCTCAGTTCTTTAGAGATGAACTAAATGGTTGGTATCATTGCTTATAAAAGTGTCTTGAACTTGATGAAGCTTATGTAGAGAAATAGTTTATATTTTTATTTTTTAATTCCATTTTTCCATGAGCTTTTTGAAGTCCAAGGTTGAAGAGATGGGTAGTTTTGGAGAGAAATAAAGCCTCCCAAAAGAACCAAATGGACATTCTAAAATGTTAAAGGCATAAAATCTGAAACAAACATTAATTAGATGGACTTAATGTCAGAATAGGCTGTGTAGAAGAAAGGGTCAGTGAAACTGAGAAAATAAAAACTATGCAAATTGGAAACCATTGGCTGCAAACTGCTGTGGGAGCAGCAGTGTTTGCTGTCTGCCAGCTGCAAGCACTTGCCAGGTTGTGGCGCTGCAGCTCTCCCAGGAGCAGGGCAGGAGTGCCGAAATTGTGGGTGAGTTCTTCTCATTTGGCATCAACAACATTTTATATCAGCATGGCATATATCCATCTGAAACCTTTACTCGAGTGCTGAAATATGGACTCACCTTGCTTCTAACTACTGATCTTGAGCTCATAAAATACCTAAACAATGTGGTGGAGCAACTGAAAGATTGGTTATACAACAGTTCAATTCAGAAACTGGTTGTAGTTATCTCAGATGTTGAAAGTGGTGAGGTCCTTGAAAGATGGCAGTTTGATATGGAGTATGACAAGGCTGCAAAAAATGATAGTGCACCCAGAGAAAAGTCTCAGAAAGCTGTCCAGGATGAAATCCGTTCAGGGATCAGACAGATTGCAGCTACAGTGACATTTCTGCCACTGTTGGAAATTTCTTGTTCATTTGATCTACTGATTTATACAGACAAAGATTTGGTTGTACCTGAAAAATGGGAAGAATCAGGACCACAGTTCATTACCAGTGCTGAGGAAGTCTGTCTTTGTTCATTTACTGCTATAATCCACAAAAAAAGTAACATGGTGGCCTACAAAGTTCCTGCCAATGGCTGAGGATGAGATCAGGAAAATCATGTAATATGTAATTTTTGAAATGTGGCTTTCCTGAAACCAAGTCAACTATAGTTGATATGTTTTATTTCATTCATTAATTTTTAGATATAGAAAACAAACATTATACTTAACTGAACTATGTGTAATTGTTCTATTTTTTTGGTACCTGTTTGATTTACCATAGGGCTGACATAGTGAATTTCTTACGCATTGTTCGAAGGGAACCAGAAGATTTTTGTCAGCATTGTAATGTTAATTT